CAGTAAGAATACCACACCTAAGTCTACTGATTTCGAAATACATTGCTTCAAAATAACACTCCTCATTATACTGGTGAGCTGCATGTGTTTTGGACTCAAAGGAGTCTAATGAATGAACTCCAAACAGGGCAGAAGTTGACATCAACGTCAATCATGACTGAAACTACCTCAGGATTCATTTTTTTCCTCAATATTTTGCCAAGAGAGTTATCAGTCTATCATACCAGCATTTCAGGAAGATGAAGGAAAAAAAACGATGCATCCTTGTTAAAATAATTCTTGCATAACAAAAATAGGGAGAGGTAGTAGGGTTCCCCCCTTTATGATGTTGAATGAGGAATATCAACAAGATAGTATTGGATCTTTGGCAATATGGTAAACCTCTGAGGGACTCGAAGATAATGAGTTACTAAGGGAATATAAATAAGCTTCCAAAGTTTTTGAACATGTTTTTTGTGTTTCTGTGCAAACATCTTAGTTGTGATTGTGTGTAGTGCTATACCATTCTCTTTTGATTATTTGGTAATATAATATGATATAAATTTTAATGAGAAATGATTATTCTATCTTCATAAATTTCTTATAATGCCTAACCTATGGTTCTGCTGCTGATATTTCCCTTCTTATTCTTTAATAATAATTGTAATAGTCTAAACTTGAAAATGAATATTCAGTTGTTTCTTTATATCCCAGGCACTCTGGCAGCTCAAGATGAAGAAATGGCTGGTGAAATGTGACGATGCATGCCGTGTCTTACTTAGGGGTCACTCACTTAAGCCTAAGGGGCTATGCTCCCATTTCCCTCTTCCTTTCTGCTGAGTGGGATGTGGATGTAACAGTGGGGACTGGAACCACCTTCACAGAGCCCAGAGGAAAAAGCCAAATGTTGAGAATAAAACATCTGCCTTTACATCTCGTCACAAAGCCCTGGCTTGCAATGGCCAGGGAAGGTCTGAAGTGTCAATCAGCTCCAGCACAACCCCCGCCCCCATTAGGAACTGGATGCACAGGTGAAAGGGTTTCTCCAAAGCCCACTCCAAGAGGCATAGACATGGACAGTGGTGTAACAGGGCAGAGGGGAGTGGAAAAGTTGATCCCTCTCAGCCAAGAAACTGTGATGGAGCCTTAGTAATTTGTACCACATCTTGGGAGATCTCCATAATTCCCACCTCAGAATCCTTATTAGGACTAATAATTTGTCCCAGGACTTACCACAAGGATTTGTTGATGAGAACTACAGTATTCAAAGACCTTGACACCTGAGATTGGTGCGGTATGCTCACTGGGCGACAGTACCCTGGTGAGCTGCGTGTGTTTTAGACTCAAAGGAGTCTAATGAATGAACTGACGGTGACGGTGAGGTCTGCATGGGAAGAAAGGCGCACGCGAGCGTGTCCTGTGAGAGAAGAAACGTGTTTCACTCAGATCCGTGGTCTAACAAGTAGATGTCTTTGTTCTGTGCACTCTCGCTATGCACACGGTAAAGATATGAGAGAGCAGCTGTAGCTGTAGCGGCTGTTTTCATGTCTCTTTATCACCTCAATGGATGGTGCCATCCTCCGATTCTGTTATATAATGTGGTGGGAAATGCACTACTTCAAGGGCCAAATGTCATCCCAGGAGATTTCAAAGCTGGACATTTTAGCCCAACTCTGGGGAACGGGCCTCTCATCCCACTACTCAGGAGTCTGCAGCAGGAGGACTGCAAACATGAGGCCTGCCTGGGCAACTTAGCAAGACCTCTCTCTCTAAATAAGATGAAAGTCGCTGGTGACATAGCTCAGGGCATGAGTGTCCTGGGTTCAATCCTCAGATACTTAAGAAAACCAGTGTTTTCTCTTTCTGGTAAAAGAAGAAGTAGGGGAGATGTAAAGATGATAGTGCTCAGCAAAGAGAGAGCTCTCCCTCCAAAATATCTGTCAGTGTCCTCTAAGACTGAGGGTGAACCCTGACCCACAATTAAGGGGTCCAGCCAGGAGAATCCAGCCAGGCCCACCTGGAATCTGATCTTCAGAACTTTGTGATGGTAAGGAGATAGGAGATATTATTTCTAATTTGTCAGTTTATTGGAATTGTTATGCAACAATAGAAAACACTTACATAGTCTGGCACTGGTTACGAGATGTTACCAAAACCAATATCTAAAATCTAGGAGAAGCATTAAATCTGAAAGAAATTTAAGAATTTTGATAACCAATTCTGTGATATCTTTAATTAAAAGATAGGACAACACCTTCAACTGAAAGAGATTTAAGAATTTTTGAGGAGCAGTATTGAAACAAACAAATGAACAAATGAAAAAACCTAAGGTGACTCATTCTGTTAGGAGAAATGAGGACACTGAGAATGTTGTCTGTTGTCCCAAGGAAGAGCGGCACGTGCTACGGAGACTGGAAAGAGGTATTGATGTGAAGTAGCAGAAGTTGCACAGAGTTCTCTCGGGCACTTATGTGTTGAAAACAAAAATGATAAATGGTCAACGTGGACATGTGACTGAGGAGATTTCCAAACATAATATGGAAAACGCAGCTGTTCTGTTGCTTCTTATAATAAAACGTGAGAGGGAAAATGTCTTACTTATGGAAAGCATCTTCTGCCATGCCCTTGGGGTTAAGCCTGCCCATGACCTTCCTTCTTCACTGTGGACACAGAACCTCTTGCAGCTTTTCTCCATAGTTTGTTTCATCAAAGGTAAAAAAGAATTCTTGACATCATTCAATGAAATAATGGAATTTGTTCCTATTCTCTCAAGAATTGTACTCACCCAGTAAATATTCTTGTCATCTACATTATACTTGACCATGGAGAGAAGGAGTGAGATTAACATTTGCAGACAGGTCAGCATCATTAGGATGGCCACAAATCCCTGTTAAATAAAGAAAATTTCATAACTTCCCATCCTATGCCACCCTGATGGCAGTTTGGAGAGTTTTATTTTAGAACTCCAAATAAGGCTCTCAAAATGGGACAGTCATTCCATTGTAAAAAAATGTGGGCATGAGTTGGGATTGGAACACACAAACAGATGTTCCACTGAAGAAGAGCAAGCAATTGCAGACTAAACTCCAATCTTTGTGGACATAACAATATCATATGGGAAGAAAATCATTGATGATTTTTTCAGAATTCACCAAGAAAAGGTTTTTGACTTCTTATTTTCATTAATATATTGTTGTGATGATGGTCTTTTTTAATATTATTGCAGAAGTGATTGCCAGTCCATCACAGATATCAGAAATACTTCCAAAGCCTTCAAAGCTGGCTTTTATCCACAGAGGACAGAAGTGACAGAGATTGCTATCTCCCAGTGACATTCAAAGTTGCCAATTTTCCATTGAGTCCCCATTAAAACTGAAGGTATCCTAAATTTTGAGTACCTCTTAAAGTTAAAAATCAAATAACAAATTGCAGAATTTTTTATCATGATCTTCATAAGTGAAACGTGTCTCTGGTGTCCCAGGACTGCCTGATTTCTTTCTATAAGGTGAGTACTCTTCTGTTTCAGGCCCTGGGTCTCCACCTTTTTCACATGGACTTAGTGCAAATAGGGGCTCACATTCAGACATCACCAAATCAGAATAAATATTAATTATCCAGGGTATTGGATTGATACTTGTGTTTAAGTCATAGCCGGAATAAATATTTACAACATAAAGCAATTTTTAAAATAATAAACAAAAAATAAAGTCATCTTTATCTTTTATCTAGATTTAAACCTCTTCCCTTTCCTCTTAAGAAATGAAGTTGAATTAAATGAGTTGCATTTTCTGATATTCTAAAAGAAAAATGTGTTACCTTCCTAAAAGTGACATTATGCTTTAGAGAGGCATTTGCAAGGAATCTTTAGAGGCTTAGTCATGTTCCTGAGTGTACCAAATATCATGTTTCATCTTCCTGAGGCTCAAATCAACAGTGTTTACAGAACTCTGGAGGAAAATACTTACAGTTGCAATAGCTTTGATACCAACACATGTAGAATCTGCTTTGCAATCATAATGGAAAATATTCATAAACTGTATGATACAAGGCAGAGTCCAACAATGGAGACCAGGGTGCTGAGGGTGTTAGCACCCAGATTAGCTTCCAGCTGAAAAATAAAGGAAATAATGTGCTTAAAAATAAATAGGTTGTTTTTGGACTCTAAGCTAAGAGAGGAGTTCTGACTCCATAAATGTATCCATTTGAGCTCCATTAGGCATTCATCACCCCTATGTTGCCAATTCAGTTCAAAGACCAGTTACAACTGGGTGAAGGAAAGTTGGAGAGAATTAATACTTCACAAATAAAAATCTTGAGTAAGATAAAATTTCTGAGTATTTTAGTTTCTATGACTATCTGTCCTGTATTAGTTCTCCTCTCTCCCCTACTGACAACACCATGAATAAAGGGTTGTCTTGCTTAAGCCCAAGCCAAGCTTGTCTCTGTACTAACCCTCCCCTGCCAGCTGCTAAGTGGACCTTAATGACTCCATAAACCTTTACTCACTTGTCTCAAAGTGATTAGATCCGGGGATCAGCATGTCTGAAATCTAGAGAGATAGATCCTGTCTATCATTTTTAGTTGTAAAAGGTATGACAATTCTTCGGGGCAAAGAGACAGCTATATGGTGAAATATAGTAGAAATAATGGATTCCCTGGGCTATGGCTTTATGTGGGAACAGCAGGATTGGTAAGATTTCATGTTCTCGCTCAATAAGAAATGGGAAAATTTTTTAACTTGCTAGTGATTTTGTCTGCTTCTTGGAAGACATGACAGAGACCCAGAGACGATAAACTGTTTACAAGACAAGAAAGATGTCACCAGAGCAGCAGCTCCTTCCATCTCACCCGTCCACCCCGTTGTCAGATGCAAGTCTTTCTCTATATCTAGTGCCATCTCTAAGAATGCCAAGAAATACATATGTGTAAATCTAAAAAACATGTTGAGGATAAATATGTAGAAGACAAAAGACTTTTTTAAAAAGATTGGTAGAAGTCACAGAAGAACTAATGAAATGAAGAAATGCATCATTTCATGAATTGGAATACTCATTATGCAGTTGTCACCATTATCTATAAATTCAATGAAACCTCATATTATCTCTCAGCTCCTCACACCTTATTTCAGGGATGGGTTCACCTTGGCCACACCTGGTGACAATATACCTGGTACTTCTTGGTTGTCATTTTTTCAGGGTGGGGAACCACTGTGTCTCCACTACAGAGAGATACAATGGAAAACATAGCAGGTGCCTGGCTCAGTGTAGACTAACCTAATCGAGGAAGACAGCATGTCCAATAAACCTGTAGTATTTATTGCAATAGCAACAAAAGATATTTCTGAGGAAAGTGTGATTGGGCAACAAACCAAGGAATTAGGGCTTGAGAAACAGATGGACAGAATCTGGGGATGTACATAATTAGATACAAAGACTCTGCTTAATTCCAAACAAAATTTACAAACAATTCAAGATGAATCCAAAATCCCATTTGGAGCCCATTGTATAGATCTGTTTAATTATCCATCTTGATCTTTCTGCTCACTTCTCAGGTTTTCATGCCTCTTCCTGAGACACTCTGAAGTCTAATTAAAATAATGATTTACATTTCCTAAAATTGACATTCTGTATGCTTTACCTCCAGATTAAATTTATTATGATTTTGTTGAATATTTCTGCTTCTTCATCATGTAACTTCCTTTTTAAAACCATTCCAGCCTTATGAATACCCCATATTGATGAATTTTTATTCATTTTGATTTTTTAACAGCTCACCTTTATCAGAGAACTCAAATGTATATGCATATGTATGTACACACACATCTCTATCATTTTAGCTCAGTTCTGCTAGACAGCCAATAAGTCATGAATTGTATTCATTTTTGTTCCTAGCATCATCCACAATATATTTCATGTGACCAGTGTCAACTCTGGTATGGGCTGAAGGATTAAAATCAAGAAACAATGAGTCCAAGGCTGCATTGTACATTCTTACCATTAACGTGTGGATGAGTAAATTTTTTGTTTTTGCTTTTGTCCTCATTGCAGAATTTGACAGTGTGAATGAAGATAAAACCAACCATTCCAAGTTACCTATCTGCAAAATTGATGATTCATCCTATTCTATGTTAGAAATACCAGTAAATTTTGAAACAGTATCAGAACCAAAGATAGATTGTGAAATAGGAAGAACATCCCTGCTCAAAATCCACACTGCCCAGTCTCTCTTTAAATCCAGAGTCAAAATTCTGTGTCTCCACACCTGACAACTTATCCAGGTAGCCCACCCAGTGCCAGGCCATGAAGCAGAGTAAGGCTGCTGCTAACTCCTGTGCTACAACACTCAGGTGATTGACGCTGCAACCTCCTTATGATTTGCCTTTTGTGTATGTCTGTCACTGTCTGAGTCACCGGAAGGGGAGAAGACCTGCACTCTTGTCATGAGCCATCTGTGGGTTTCACGTGGGTCACCGTGCATAGAAGCCTTGTGGATAGAGGCACCTGGTGTCTGGGAATGACCAGTGGATATTTCCTCTGGTCAATTGCCCAGGGACAATGTGAATCTCTTTCCTGTTCTGCCATGGCCCACACAGCACCTGAGATGGGTGTGACCTGCCAAGATGTCAATCAACCTGCTGACTACAAGAAACCATGAAGCAAGACTTTGCCCTTAAAACCTTATCCCTGCCTTTGATATACTTTCTTAAATAAACCACCAAAGCCATTTTCCTTTTGTCTAGTTCCAGAACCTACGTGGACTACATCTATTGGGAGCTTCGCATTCTGTAAATATATTTCTGAGTATTTGTGTCTTGTTACTTACTAATTATCTAAGATCGTAAGTTTTAGGGTGGCTTGGATTCCTGGGCAGAAAGAAGGAACCCTTATTGAGATGCTGGCCATCCTCCCTCCCAAAACACTCTTCTATTTTGGTGTTCCTCATTACTGCATTTCCACAGTAAGCACTCAGCAGATAAGTGGTCAGGACATGTCTGCACAAATGCTGCTGAAAGTCAATGATGGTCAAACTACACTACTCAAAATTAAGAGTATTCCCAGTCCTTGATTATCATCTGATTGTTTTTCCTTCCTCTTCCCTCTAGTTCCATATTCCTCCATTACATCCCCCAGTGACAGTTAATTAAAAGTCCTCCTATTCCAGTGATCTCACTTCCTTTCAGTGCTGAGCTTGAGCATCTCCTTGAACAGAGTTGGGCAGCTACTTCCCGGTGCCATGTCCTGAGCTGCTTTCCTCTGCCATGCCCTTCTAACTTCAAATTCTTCCTCACCTCAGGCCCAGAGCTGAGGAGTCACCTGAACATGGACCAAGACCTCTGAAACCATGACACAAAATTGTTTTTTCCCTCTAATTGTCCTTGCCAGATCTTTTGATCCCAATGATGAAAAATCTGAGTAAAACAGACATTAGTGCCATGAGTGGAGTCATTGCTGTGGGTAACCTGACCATCCTTCACAAATGGGTTGGTGGAGGAGGAATTTGGGGGGGAAAATCTTAGATATGCAAGCTGGATAAACTTTAAAATATTGTAAGCAGAGATTAATAAGCAACTCTGGTGAGAGCTCAAAAGCCTGGAATGCTGATAGAACTGCGGATAGTGAAGACTATGCATGTGGGGTTTGAGAGGAGATGAAGGGAAGGCTCTATTGAAAACTGGACTAGAGGCCATTTATGTGAGGTTCTGGCAAAGTAGTTGTCTGTATTTTGCCCATGTCCTGAGACTCTCTGTGAAGCTGAATTAAGGGTGATGAACTACTTAATCTGGTGGAGGAAATTTCAAGGCAGCACAGCATTTAGGCAGTGGCGTGGATATTTCCTGGAACTTTTGACGAAGATTACTAACCATGATAATCAGGAGGAGGAAGCAAAGCTGAATGGTGAAAGTTTCATCTGTGACAAGAAACTGTAATGAAGAATATGCATTATTTTGATAAAAGTTTTATAATAAAATCAACCTATTAATCATATAAACAGCATAAAAATTTCATCAGTCTAAACAGGACTTCAAGCAAAGCCTTAATCTGTGAGTATATATAGTTTGCATCAGGGAACATCACATCCAGCTGGAAGAAGGTGAGGTTCAGGAGGAGCACGCCCATGGCTGAGGCCCTGGGTAAGTGCAGACTCTCTTCTGCACTTACCATACTTCTGTATGGCCTTGAGCATGGCAGGGGTGCAGTGAGATTGCCATCCTCGGGACTCACGCAAACCAGAAACGACAGATGCTCCTCTGTGTGGGTGGTGAGACAAACCACAGGAAGTGTGTGGCCGCGTGGGACTCCTGGCAGGGCTCTCCTCACACAGCACACAACAGAACAGGCCCCTCCTGGAGACTGTGAACGAGGGTCCATGCACCAGAGAGGAGAACAACTCTCATTGGTGCACTCTGGGGAGATGGAAAGGTAGGCCAAGCCCACGCCTTCTGTTAGCCCCCTGCTTGATCTCAGAAAATAACTTAATGTGAGGGACGTGACTGCCTGGGCTTAGGGGGCCCCTGTGAATGGTCCACAGGAAGCTGTGATGTGGGAGAATCTGGTCTGAAGTTTGGTGCTGGTGAAGCAGCCAGGTTTCAGGTTTATAAATGGAGACCCTCTGCCTTAGAGCTGAGGATTAATTAGGCAGCTATTAGTTATCTGAGCTGACCCTTTGGTGGGTATGAGAAAGAGAATATAGAAAACATCCATGCTCTTTCCTAAGCCAGAGCTGGGAATCAAGTGTCATTCATTCCCCAGAAAGACAAAATGCCCCCTGCTGGTGGCCTTTGATATGGATCAATGAAGGTGTTGGAAAGCAACCCATGCTGAGCCATTTTCTGTTTGCTGGTGCTAACAGCAATGCCTAGACATTAGAGGAAGCTGCAGCCAAAGGACCAGCCAGCATCCTCCCCAGGGTTAAGAGCATCCTTCATCCAGGCAAGCTGGACCCTTGGGTCCTGCCCTCCCCGCAGCAGAAAAGTCTACTGCTCTCTGGAAGGGGCAGCCCCAGGTCCTAGGGGTGAGTATAAACACAATAATTCCAGAGTGCAGGCCTCAGGGTCAAGATTGCTTCCTGTAGCACCATATGAGCAAACACTTTTATAACAAGTGTCAGGGTTGTGTACTGGACAAAGGAAAATGCTCAATGTGTAGACGGGTATGGCCCTGGGAGACGTGCCAGTACTGGAATCTGAGAGGTGGGAAGGAGGTGAGTGGGCAATGATCCTGAAGAAATTCTCCCTGCCGAGAAACTTCACCTTCTCATAGAATGTGTCTTCCTTCTGACGTGGCTCAGATCCTGATTGGGCTGATGATTCTATGCCTGGGGGTGTCAATGGCTTCTCTGATTCCACCAGGCTATCCTTTTATGATCCTTTTCATCCTGATTTGAAAGCACACTCCAAAGCTATGGTAATCCAAACAGTGTGGTGCTGACATAAAGACCGACATAGAATAGAATAGAATAGAATAGAATAGAATAGAATAGAATAGAATAGAATAGAATAGAGAATAGGCCACGCAGCAATAAAAGCTCACATATGTGGAGGCAGTGGTTTGGATATGGTTTATCCCCCAAGAGTTTATGTGCCTGAGACTTGGTCCCAATGCGGTGGTATTAAGAGATGGTGGAATCTTTAAGACATGAGGCTTAGTGGATGGTTATTAGGTCTCTGGGGGCTTTGACCTCAGAAGGAATTAGTGCTGATCTTATCCTACAGAGAGAGCCAGCTCTTCAGAGAGTGAGTTGCTATAAAAAGAGAAAGACTGGCCCCTCACTGGCCTCTGGCTTCCTGACCCACCATGTCTTTTCCCTCTGCATGCTGCTGGTTCCCCTTTCTGATCCTCTGTCATGGTGCAATGCAGTCAATGGGGTCCTTGCCAGAGGCTACATATGTCTTAAAGGACATTAACAACAAAGGAAAAGAGCCACTTAGGGAAGGAGAGAAAATATTTGCAAATAATGTATGGGTAAGGGATTAAGAGTCACAACGCATAAGGAACTCCTACAACTCAACAGTAAGAAAAAGCAAACAATGAGATGGCAAAATAGGAAAAGGACTTGAAAAGAGCCAAACACACATAAAGATGTTTGATTTCCCTGAACATTAGGAAATGCAAATCACACCCACAGTGAGATACTATTCTACACCCAGCAGGATTGCCACTCTAAAAATCAATAAATAAAAACTACATGGAGAATAACACGAGTTGGTGAGGATGGGGAGAAATTGGAACATTGCACCTTGCTAGTGGGAATGTAAAATAGTGCGGCTACTGTGGGAAACAGCACGGTGGTCCTCAGAAAATAAATAAATAAAACACAGAATTACCATATGATCCCGTAATGCCACTCCTAGATAAACCCCCCAAAGGACTGAGAACAGAACTCAAACAGATATTTGAACACTGCTGTTTATGATGGCATTTTTCAAAATTGCCAAAAAGCAGAAACAACTCAAGTGTTTGTGGACAGAATGATGGATAAGAAAAACATGAGACATACACACAATGGAATATTCCATACCCTTAGAAAGGATAAAGGACTATGTATGTTGCAAGACAGGGGGAACTTCAGACATATGGTCAGTGAAATAGGTTAGTCTCTTGTCAAAAAGACAAATGTCATGTGATTTCACTCTCACAAGATTCTAGAAAAAGCAAATTCTAACATATACACTACATATATGACATATATTTGATTTTATTCCTGCTACCTTATTTAATTTCTAGCTGTTCCATTATAGAACTCCCTTTTCCTCCTTTTTCATGAATTGATCACTGAAAATATTTTAGATATTTCCTTTCTATTTGCTGAGTACATATATGTTCCATTAACATTTTTTGGTATTTGCTGTAGCAACTAAACATGCAAGTTTATGTCATAAAGACATGGATAAATTATTAATCTTAGTGTAAAGATTCAATAAAATATCTTAGAATACAATAATCAAATTGACAAAAAAATCTTTCTATATATCTGATTGTATACAGATAGATAGATCATTGGCAGAGACAGATTTAGTATGATTCTGTTTCCTTCTGGAGAAGGTTCAGGCTTTTCTTGTTAGATTCTGTGGGATATCTTCCCTGTAATCCTACAAGGACTTGAAGATAGTTTGCGTATTTGGTAAGGTTTCACTTAAAAAAAACAGCATGGTACTGGTACCAGAACAGGTGGGTGGGCCAATAGTACAGAATATAGGACACAGAGACCAATCCACAAAGTTACAACTATCTTATATTTGATAAAGGGGCTAAAAGCATGCAATGGAGGAAGGATAGCACCTTCAACAAATGGTGCTGGGAAAACTGGAAATCCATATGCAACAAAATGAAACTGAATCCC